GGCCCCACTAACACCTCTTCCAGCAGCAACCTTAGTTCTTCCCAGGAGGTCTCCCATCCAGGTACTGACCAGGCTCACACCTGCTTAGCTTCAGTGGCTTGCCAGTTGTGAGTTGCAGGGTGATATGGCTGCTGGCTGATACTCCACCTTACTCACTTGAAAGGGTGAAGGAAAAGCTGCCAGAAACAAAATGCAGGATTTTAATTTCTGCAGTATGGGGGAGGGGTGAGTGGTTAAGTATGTTCTCCCCTCCCTGGGAGGGAAGTGGCTCTAAACAATAGGGTGCCAACTTTTTGCCAACAGAATCACTGTAAATAATAAAAGCATCAGTAGTGAGGCATTGCTGTGCTGTGGGGTTGGGCAGCCGGGCTCCCCATCTCTGGCTGGCGTGCAGACCAGGTATGGACAGCATTGACCATTCTTGGTGAACGAGAGCCAGGACCCTGTTTTGTGCTGCTAAATAAATGCGACCAGAGGTGTCAAGGCTCCGGCTCAAAAGCGCAGCGGTAGTTCAGGCAAAGCGACACCTGAGCCTTAGCGTGTGTTGGAGCAGCGCAATCGACCCCCCTGTACTGAATCTGAGCGAGGAGAAGAGATGGGCTGCAAAAAAAGGACCAACAGCGTGAGGCTGCCAAAGTGAAGAGGAAAAAAAAGGACAAAAATGCCCCTCTTTAAGATAAAAAATATTCTGCTTTATTGCTTGTAAAGGGAACCGACACCGGCGGAAAAAAATTGGTAGAGCTTTACAAACAGCAGAGGATACGCTGCCATGGCGGCTATCAAAAACGGAAGCTATATACAGTGGAAATGCTGGCTGGTACAGAGGTGAGTCTACATGGACCCCTATACGAGTCTCACTCAGGAACGGCGTGCCGCCATCCCAGTGCGTGGAGCTGAGCCCTGCATACTGGAGTTCAGACCAGCCCAGTCCACCGTCCATTCAGCTGTCAAGCCAGACCCTGCCTGGGACTTGGCCTGACCAGGATACAGGATCAGTATCCTGTAGCGGCCTGACCAGGATACAGGATCAGCCGAGTCCGATTAAGACGATGGGCTCTGTGCTCCAAAGATGGCTGTACACACACATTTAAACCCATTCACACTCGCACGCTCACCGTCCCTCACCTGCCCCCCCTCCCCAATGCCCCCTAAGCAAGAACCTCTATTTACAGGCTGTCCCCGCCACTATGGCCCCCAGTCCTCGCTCGTATTTCCCTAAATATAATCCCAGGGTCTCCCTACAGGGCAGCACTAACAAGTGTGTCCTTCATATTTTTACAGACAAGCCCTGTTGCCCTCATTCATTTGCCCCAACCAAATCTTCTTATCCCTAAATTTCCTACTCTCCCAATTCTCAGGCTTCACAGTCCCTCCAGTTTCATCAGTCTCTCTATCCCCAAGCCCCCCTGTCTCTCACCCCTCCAGTCACACACGTTAACCGCCCCCCCCCAATCGCTCCCAGTCCCAGAGTCCTCCAGTCTCCCTGTCCCAGAGTCCTCCAGTCTCCCTGTCCCAGAATCCCCCAGTCTCTCCCTGTCCCAGAATCCCCCAGTCTCTCTACCCCCCCCCCCCAAGTCTCCCCAGTGCCCCCTCAGCTGCTATCCTTATCCCCGTGCAGGGCTGCGGTTGCCAGGGTGACAGTGGTGAGTGGCTGGCCCAGCCCATGCAGCTGCATCCTGGCCAGCTTCTTCTGCTCGCACTCCGTCACCAGGTGGTTGAGCTCGGCCGCACTGTACCCGATCAGCGTCTTGAGGTCACACACAAACTTGTACACAAAGCGCTTCCCCTGCACCTTGCAGATCATGTCCCCGTCGTAGTAATACCTGCGGGGAGGAGACGCGCAAGACTGAGGCGGGTTCTCACGGAGTCCTGGCTTCCTGCCGCAGACGCCCAGTCCCCGGGCCGAACGGAGAGAGACGGAGAGGCCAGCTTACCGCAGCGCCCGGCTGAGCTTCTCGTAGTTCATGGTGGGCTTGTTCTTGCGCTGCCCCCACTTGTGCGCCACCAGCTCGGGCTGGTTCAGCTTGAACTCGCCGTCGTCGCCCACCCAGGAGATGCAGTCACGCGCGTCCTTGTCCGTCAGCAGCTCCAGCAGGAACTGCCAGAGCTGGATCTGGCCGTTGTTGCCTGGGAGGGAGAGGGAAAGAGTGAGGCCCGACCCCAAGCGCGCGGACACACTCCCGCGCTCTCTCTGCCCCACCCCCTTACCGGTGCGGTTGCCGGGGGAGCTGCGGTCCTCGCCCCCGGAGATGCGCGGCGCCCGCTGCACCTTGTTCTGCTTGGCGCTGCTGCTCAGGACCTTGATGGCGGTCGGAGCGGTTTGCTGCACCGAGGCTGGGATGATCTGCACCGCTGGTGGG